CGTCTCTCTCTCTCTCTCTCTCTGCTCATCCTCCTCTCTCCGATATATCTCCCACGTCTTTCTATCTTATCTTCTCTCACTCCTCTCTCTATCCTCCTCTCTCTCCTCTCTCTCTCATCTCTCTCTCTCTTACGTCTCTCTCTTCTCCTTCTCTCTTTCTTCTCTCTCCGCCTCCTCTCTCTCTCTCTCTCTCTCTGTCGGGTGATATCTCGTCTCCCTCCCCTCTCTCTCTCACTCTCTCTCTCTCTCTCTCTCTCTCTCTCTCTCTCTCTGTTGCTCTCTTCTCTCTCTCTCTTCTCTCCCTCTCTTCATCTCCTTATATTGTCTTCTCTATCTCTACTCTCTCTCTCTTCCTCCTTTTCTCTCTCTCTCTCTTCTTCTCTCTCTCTCTCAGTTTGTCTCCTTTCTCCCTCCCACCTCTCTCACCTCTCTCATCACTCTCTCTCTCGGTTTCGTCGCTCATCTCTTTCTCTCTCTCTCCTCTCATCTTACCTACTCAGTCCCTGTCTCTCTCTCTCTCTCTTTCTCTCTCTATATGTTTGCCTCTCGCTCCCTCTCTCCCTCTCGCTCCCTCCCCTCTCCTCTCTCTCTCTCTCTTCCTAGTCTCTCTTACTCGCTCTCTCTCTCTTCATCTCTCTCTCTCTCTTCTCTGGTTTGTCTCCCCTTTCTATCGACTCTTAACATCTCTCTATCGGCTCTCTCTCTGATTTGTCTCTCTCCTCTCTCTCTTTCCTCTCATCTGTTGCCTCTCGCTTCCCTCTCTCCCACTCGCTCCCTCTCTCTTCATGCTCTCTTCTCGAGTCTCTTCTCTCTCTCTCTCTCCTCGTCTCATCGCTCTGATCCTGTCTTATCCGGCTCCTCTCTTAACTCGCTCGTCACGGCCTCGTATAGCTGATGGGAGTTTTGTCACTCACAGTCGTTCAGCGCAATTCGGATGATAATCATCTCCGGTTCAATTAGTGACACGATCCAGCAACCCCTCAGCTAGGTAAGACGCATACAGGTCTGTACGACAGTTGCATATCTCTTAGTTGGCTCATAGGAAGTTCTGTAGTGGATGAATGTTTATAATCATCTATTTGCTAGCTACCTGTACCTGCACGGCCGTTATTTGCGCCAATGAAAACTGTCCCCCGGCAAACCCTTTTAAACCCCCTAAACTTCTACTCTGACCTCCCAAACCTAAGCATAACCCCCCCAACCATAACCTGATCCAAATTAGCCCTGCCCATAACCTTAACTTAACCATAACGTAACCCATAACTTAACTAAAACCCTATAGTTCCCACGTAATCTAAATTAGCCCAGCCGTAAATCTACCCCCTTACTTAACAATCACCTTAGCTCCCACGTAAATACCCTAGGCCGCCATTATTTCGGCCGCCAAGACCGCCAACCCCTTACTTTAACCAACCCACACCATACATCAGCAGATCCGCAGCTTTAGTAACACAAACGCGCGTTCTCCCTGTGAGGCTCAGTGCGGCTCGTCAAAGGAAACAGGTAAAATCTACTGATGACGATTAATCTACGACGCATTAGGGAATGTGCGAATGTTCGTCGTCATTATATATATCGTGTATCTAAAACAAAAATGACTTCATTATCTCAATCTCGAAAACGAAACTTCGTGTCTGTGTCATGTACTTCGTGCCATTATGGCAGAATGTTCGTTGTCATGCTGCCACTATATATCGTGTATCTAAAACTGTAATTCTGAAAACGAAACTTCGTGTATGTATTCCATTACTGCGTATGATCGCATTTTTCCAGATTCTCCGCCGAGACTGGATTTGGGCGATTAGCAGTCATTGAGAGCTTGCTCACAACACCTGCTCGGATACATATTTTAGAATATCACAGGAGCGTTTCACACTTACACGCTGCGTCGGCAACTACCTTTGCTAATTGCTTCTATCGCACGAGGTTCAGGTGTGCTCGTCGGCAAACACAGGTAAGATTGTATAGATGAAGCAATCTATAGATAGATACGGCCGAGACTTTGCTCGACCTGGTACAGGGTCGAGTTTCACCAATCCAATTAACAAATGGTCTTCACAGGGATGTACATCGACCGGGGAACTCTTGCACCGGATGCATATAAACAGGCCCCGTGCGTTCGACTGTATCAATAGGGCCGAAACGATCCGCCAACAGCCAGAATAATGACCCACTAGAGATGCGCTGTGAGACACGAATTGTTATGTCACTTGTAGCTATTATCTGAATCGTTGATGTTGTCAAGAGTCCATGAATTAAGGGACTCTTTATAGGGACCTCCTCCTATTATGGACTGTGATGTCTGACATACACGCGCATCCCGCGCCGCACAGCACACACACAACACACACCCAACACACCCCCCCCCACACACACACACACACCCACTCACTCACACACACACCACACACAGCACACAGCACACACACACACACACCACACACACCGGGAACAGCTCATAAACACACACTTTATATAAAAATTATAGTTTAATTGTAATATAATATTATTATTCTATAATAGTTCCAAACGTTATCAACGCCGAAATGTATCGCATTTATGTTAACTCTGATATTCTAGTATTTATATAAGCTCCAGTTCGATTCACTTATATCAATGCTACCGGGGGTGGGGAGCAAAAAAACATCCGTTTGGTTCTTCGACATGCAAGTTGGGGGTCAAAACGGGGCCAAGTTTCGCATGTATTGTAACCCTGGTTACACTCCATATTCAATGTTTGCCGCCACTATGCGCATTCCACAATCGTAATTTCTCCATCACTAGACTAGCAAATATACTTCGTGTCATTTGCACTAATCACACTACCCTTATGACAAATAAACTCTAGTTGCTCCCAATTTCACTGCGCGTTTGCTTAAAAACCTACAAAAAGAGGTGAGAAAACTGGCATTCTGGCCGCGCAAAACGCCGCACTGTTTAGCCAACAAATAGCTCCGAAGTCGGTGACGTGAGTCACCATGTTTATCTTTGCGTACACCGCGTACCGCTGTACCGCAGCACCGCTGCACGGTTGCTTGGGGATTGGGGAAACTGTCAACAACATCGGAGAATTTTAACAACAATGGAGGTATTTTCAAATACCTTTTATAAGACAACGCGCAGTGAAATGGGAGGAACTAGAGTTTATTTTGTCATAAGGTAGTGTGATTATGCATGACACGAAGTATTTGCTAGTATAGTACTGGAGAAATTAGCGTTTGGATGCGCATTGTGCAGCTTTAAGGTCATTCCCTGTCCCTGTTCCTCAGACTTTAAGTAATACTGTTTAAGGCTGGTAAAATATACCGCGAGTATTATTGGGGTATAGCCGTTTAAATGAACTATTTTCAGTAGATTTGTCTGAGATGCTCAGTATATAATCTGATATCAAACAATCTTGGCTATTATTATATGAAGTCTTTATAGATTAAACACAAATGACGTCATACAGGCGTACCACCGATTTTACGGCACCCTCGGTTCAAAAGCCTTGCTGGAATCTCCATTTTACCGGATATCAACAAAGGATAGATAATAATAATAATAACGAAACGATGGATGAATCGATATGGATTAGTGTTTACGCTTGGCACGTCGACTGACGCTTGCATCTATTTTAGAAGCCATAGTAAGGTAAGCGTCTAGGCTAATTGTACACAAAATAAGCTAAAAATACCACTAAATCGAGGTATCGCCGCCAACAAGTGCAGCGTAAACAATTCGAATGAGCGCGTAATTTTGGCAAGATTCATTTTTGACTAATTTGGGTAATTTTGGCAATACCCCGTACGGACAAATTTGATCCTACATTAAATGAGTCATCAGTTCTAAGTTCAGCTCGCCACGTCACCCCGCAAACATTTACTATGCGCATGCGTATTGCGATTTAGCACCGGATCTGGCCCGAGTGTTGCGTACAGACACAGCTTGGTGCGGGATAACTTATCCCGGGCCTGGCCCTCCTTTATTTTCGGGGCCAAATTGGTGCGGGCCAGCGCGTATTTGGAGCGGAATAGCGTGTATACACACTGCAGAAATTTGGCGCGCGCCTGACCCGCACCAGTTTAATACCATATCAAATTTGCAGTCTGTACGGGGTATTAAAGAGTCATCAGTACCATCAGCTTGCAGGAAAATCGGTGGTGTACCTGTGATCGTTAATTATCATTAATTAATTAACTGAATACCAGAGCGAATGAATTCTGACTAAACTTGGCGAACTATATTTTCTAGTGAGAAACACAAGAGCAGCTCCACAAATATTTGAGAGCAATTTGCCTGCACGCAAGTGAAGCAACAAATAATGCAGTTTTCATTCGCCCGACGGACTTAAATATATAAAATTCCTCTTCTATGATAACATTTTATACGCGATGTGGCTTTAATAACAGACAATGTATATAAATATTACATATTTCTATAACCGTATCCCAGAGGAAACGCGGAATGTGAAATCTCCGATAAACAGGAAGTTATGCTACAACTCTAGGGATGCATATCTCGGAACCTTGCCGTCGCAGCGGACGACCTATCCCGGACGGTTTTTTCAAAATTTTTGGCCCGAAAATGTTTGAATCGGGGAACATTGTAAGGTTGCATGAAATACATCTGGGGGATGCGACGCTGCAGAAACATCGTGGCATCACGTTAAAGAATACTACTATTATCAACAGTGTATACAATATAGTCTATATTATACACTTAATAGTCTATATTATACACTTAATAGTCTATATTATACACTTAATAGTCTATATTATACGCTTAATAGTCTATATTAAACGCTCCTACTGTTATAATACACATGGAAAAGAATATCAGCAAAATATCTGATATTATCAGGAGTGGATAATAGAGATTATCTATTAGAGATCTCTATTATCCACTCCTGATATTATATATATATATATATATATTATATATATAATCTAATATATAGTCTGATATTTTGAGTAAAAGCTCTGTGACTACGGAATTCGCGATATCGCACAGTGTCTTACCTATGGTCGTGACGATGGTGGCCACGAAATAGAAGGCGCCGCCGAAATCCCATCGCGGTCTCTTGTCGAGCAGGTTCTTCGTGCTAGCGTTGCCATGCGCTTGCAGCAACACCGACAGCTCGCTAGCGTTCACGTCCGGGTAGAGCGCCACGAAGTGCGCGTACGTGTTCCTGTAGCTTTCCACGGCCCTCAGCTCGCTCTCCTGCTCCAAATACTGGAACAGCAGCGCTCCGGCGACCATGTAGAAGACCATGACTACGGCGAGAAGGAGGAAACGGGCGTTGTCTTCTCGCAGCTGTATCGCCTCGCACCAGCCGCCCTGGGCCATCGTGCCCCCACCCGCCTCACTGATCCATACACCTCCCCCGAGGCTTCCCTATAACGTCTGCACTGTCGTCAGCCTGGCGCCACTAGCAGCGTCGCGTTCGTACGACGTCGGCAACCGACGAATGTCATCTCGTTGGCGACGACGTTAGTGCTCGTCGACGCTCGCGCGTGTGTCCGGTGCGGCTCGCACTCTCTCGCTCTCTCACACTACTGTCGCTCCGCGCAGCAGCAGTAGCGGGGGTGCGTGTGCCCGGTGTGTGACATTCACCCTTCCGGCTTCTATCACCTGCGCGTCCGTAGTCATTCTTGCGCGTGCTCAGAAAAAATAATAGCGAGTGACGAAATAATATACTCGGCGGTGCTCTGCAAATAACTGCGCGCGAGTTTGTCGCGTTTATCGCATGTGTCGGGGAATCTGTCGATGATCTGTAATTGCAAACAGCTAGTCAGTCGCTATGTAATAGCTGCTGGCGTACGGTGCGGGCAGCAAGCCATACTCCTGTCCAATATACTCTTATCGCGTTGTTTCCACCTGAGTATCACCGAGGGTGGTGTCGTCAACCTCAGAGACCCAAGTGCATCTTTAGTCGGCTACGTCGCTGCTAGCTACTCCCTCTCGTTCTCTCTCCACCGCAGCGCGGCTCTCACCAGGAAATATTCACACGTACGCACGTCCTGTTTGTCCTTGCTGTCTTCCCACACTATAGGGATGACGGCGGCAGTCTGGTCGGCGTGTCGGTGCGTGTGTGCGGCTAGGGGAAGCAACAGGCAACTGCACGCGGCCCGCGCTCTCGGGTACTTCTGCATTCATACACAATACCTGTTTGAGCCGCTATCGATCGGGGACCTCTCTGTTGTCATGGCAACCTCGTGGAAGCACAATCATCTCTGCGCCGCCGCTTCTGCCGCTACTCTGAAACAAGCCCTACGCTTCGCGTGCTTTGCGAGCGTCGCACAGTAATGCGGAAACTAACGGGTAACGTCGACGGCGCTTCTGTTTCCGTTCGGTTACATCCCGGACGGAAATAATATTATCTATCGACTAGACGTTTTTAACACGTCGTCGTCTGTGCGGTGGTGAGCACTCATTGATAATGACATAATAAGGTTCTTGAACCTACCGTTCGTCCACAACCGAGAAATTTCACACATTTTCCTATGCTCAAATTGTGTATTTCACCAATCTATATTATCAATCAGCCACCTTTTCCAGTTCACGCATCTTTTGAGACTAATATAAGCTAAATATAGCTAATATTATAGAAAGACTGTAGAGCGTACACAAACACACAAAGACAATATTATTAGAATGGAATGTCGGAAAGCCGAGTTTAAAATTACCGCAGAAAAACACGCAATTCTCTTTTGGCCTAAAACAGCTCGGCGATTATACGATAATCGAAAAGCTGGTTTAAATGTGCATGGCTTTCACTATCGAAGTGTAAATCTACGTTTAGCGTCCCCGATGATTCTCACAGTAAACTCTGCAGTGATATCTATACTTTACAAGGATTAGCATAGAAATAAAGATAAGACGATGGAAGAGTATTTATCACGTCGTTTAAGCCTTGCGTCAAATTTAATGTATCTGTTCTTTTGTTTAATTATCACAGAAAACACGCGAATGTAAACTACGATAGTTATACAATCGATTATAGATATGGGATATATTATCGATTATAGATTATAGATATTCATATTATAGATATGCACGACAAAACCTTCATAGCACGACACTATACAAACGTCACGTCGTTGCTGTGAGTGTAGCTCTTTCTCACATGTCGGTTATATTACACGTGTCTGTATTGAACCCAATATGTATCCAATGTTTCCTCTTCTCTGTCAATGTGTACGCAACCACTGCTGATACAATAAAGAGAGAATACATGTGCGTTTCATATTCTGCAGCGTGCAAGGGTAAAATGTCTTTAAAGGACATGTGTCGAGCTTTTAAATGTCAAAATAACCCAATAATGTCAAATTAAGTCACACTTCAAGGGAAAGAAACATATATAGAAGAGAAGAGCGACGAAAGGCAGCAATAGCCTGATATAAGTTTATCAGACCAAACGCTTGCGTGAGGTTTCCTGGATATTTTGCTTTTATTTTTATATTTTCCTTAGCTATTGCGTGGACATAGACCTGTAATAGTTGTCATGCAATATTCACACAGCATCCGCGAAAACATGCAAAGTCACGCATGCAAAAAGACAAAAGTGAAGTATTTGTTGGAGAAAGCGTGAAACCAGCTTCGTATAATACCCACTGTTATTATACTAATACTGCCGTAGTAATACCGTTATTATAATACTGTCGTATAATACCTACTGAGTTGAGAGAAAATATAAAAAGAGGAGAATGAAACATAAAAAACGGGTAAGCGAAGGCAAATGGAATAGAACGGGGGCGGATAGGAAATAACCTACAAAAATAGTAGTGGGGCGGTAAAATGAGAGGAGAGAACAAACAAAAACAGGTTAACATGCAGAAAAGATGGTGAGAAAGCGGACAGGCATAGTGAATGTGCACTGGTGCAACGCTAGGACGAGGCATTAAAGTGATTACGTCACCGTAAATAATAAATTTTTGTTTAAAAATCAAGTTTTTCACAAAATGTAAGTAATTCTGTTCCCTTTTATGGTTAAATTGCTGCATTATACTTCCTATTTTACTATATTGTTCGATGTAAACATACACTCGTGACTCATACATAGCCCATAGCAAGCAATTAATGTCAGGATCATAATATCAAATCGTCCAGGTTTTTTCGATTTTTAACTAGTTGAGAAACAATCTTATCAGGTAAGAATTTGACGATACATTTAGTCCCGTTAGTACTTACTTTTAATTGGCAACAAAATTTTTACAAAATACACCATAGAAAATTCGTAACGTAGTCAATTTAAGTGGTAAGTGGAGAGGGAATGTACGTGGGGGTGTCATGAGGAGGAAGTTGAGAAGAATACAAGAGGGACGTGACGATTCGTGGCTTCCTCGCCATTTCGCCCCTTGCTTACACCTCATTGACCTTGGTCTTTCTCGTGTAATCCCACTCACATTATTCCACCTTATTACCTCGGCATATTTGATCATTTAATATTAACCATGAACCCCAGGATAACATATAAAGCTGCTGTGACAATAATCACACTCTCTTGCGTGACATTCAAATTATTGCGTTCTATTTTTACACATCACTAGAATTTCAGCAGTTTAGATAATCAAATGTCAACGCGAGAGTAAATGTCCGCACGTTTTTCATTTGTTTTCGTGTGTTCGTGTGGCTGAAACAGCGTGACAAGGTATAGCACGCGAGTTTAACGACACACGCCATCAGAACGCCGCTGTCACGATCAACTCATTTGCTTTGTCTGCGACGATGACAGGTGACATTGTAGCGAGCGAGGAAAGCGAGCGATGGTGAATAAACCCCGAGGTAATAAATAGACACAGAATTGTCAAATAAGCCCATTATAGACACGCAGTGAATATACAGATTAGTTGTGTTTATATGCGTGTTTTGATTTTCGGAGCCCAGGAACGGTAGGTCGCGCCAAATATACACTGTATCTTACAAATATGCCAGTTATAACTCATATACCGGGTCATGACGTATGTAACGCAGGAAATGACGCAAGCAGTGCGTATAATGAAGTATATGCGCGCGTCTCAGACGGCTCAGACGGCTCAGACGTGCGCATATACATTATTATACGCACTGCTTGCGTCAATTCCTGCTGTGCGCCCTGTGATACAAGCCTTATCAAGTAAACTTATTGCGATACATTGCGTTTGAAGAAGTGGTGATGCAGTTATTAGCTACCCTTGTCGTGGACGTGTCTCGTAAGACTGGTATGATCGGTGGATGGTAGAGACACGAGACATTGCATGACGGCACTAGACTTAGATTGAATCCGCGCGCGTTGTTAATTCACCAATTCACTTGTGGTTCTCGAGTACGACCAACTTATGCCTGCCAGACCAGCAGGATACATCAGCCTGATATTACTAGGGAATACTTATCAGAGTCATTGTAGAGATAAGGGCACATTGAGAATTATCTTTGATTTCTTTGATTTTAGATTTTAGATTACGGGCTTATAGAAACGACTATATGACTGATATTACGGCTAACTGTCGTTCTGGTAACGAGCCCAAGTTATCTGATGGCTCCACCGCGCCGACCTTCTATTAGCTGGCTGCTTTTTGATAATCATGGTCTCGCTTCCATCCAGACATTCACACTCCGGGTGCACTGGTTAAGCCGGGTTTACACTACCGACTTTTTGTTGTCAAATTGGCGAGTTGGACCAATTTCGCATTTTGGCAACACCGAGTTGGCGAAAATAGAACATTTTCTAATCTCCCAACTAGTTGCTATCGACCAGTTGCTCGCGCGACTTTTGCGTTTACACTGCCGTTTGTTGGTTGTATGGTTGCGAAATTGGTTCAATTCGCCAATTTAACAACATAAGGTCTGTAGTGTAAACCCAGCTTTAGTTAGTGTATATATTCAGGGGTTATGTGCTTGTATGTTCTTACGTAAGCTGAGGGCCGTTTATACCATGAAATGACACGTTGACTCTGTACAGGTTCATTTTGCTCATCTAGTCACAACAATGTTTAAATAACGAAACAATATCGGTATTGATTTTAGTCACTTTCATACTTTATTTTATCATATATTACACTTTTTTAGTATAGGTTTATAGGGTATACGGTATAGGTATAGTCATGGTTAACGGCTATAGGTATAAGCGTTATAGGTATAGGGTTTAGCAGGTATAGGATATAGCGAATAGGTATTATGGTAATATAGGGTATAGGTATAGGATTATAGGTATATAGGTATAGGTATAGGTATATAGGTATAGGTATATAATATCAGGAGCGTATAATGACAAATACTTGTCATTATACGCTCCTGATAATATATAGGTATATAGGTATACCTAATAGGTATTATTGACTCTCAGTGACATCGTATGTGTGCCACGCGTGTTGTTGA